CACACCCAGGACCCAACCTGGTGAACCTGGGCCACCAAAGCAAAGTGCACCAAACTTAACCACTATGCCACAGGGCTGGCCCCACTAAGAGAGTAAATCTTAACTGTTCTCAACACAAAAAAGAAATGATAAAAATGTGACATGATAAAGGTGCTAGGTAATGCTGCTGCAGTAATCATATTACAATATATAAATGCACCAAACCAACACATTGTACACCTTAAACTTACACAATGTTATACGTCAATTATTTCTCAATTTTAAAAAAAGCCAGCTTATGATCCAATCTACATCAAAACCCAAACGTCGATAAGCCCTACACATGCAAACAGAGCTTCCCATTAGCTTAATTCCTCACTTTTAAATACAAACACAGCCAAAGATTACCAGACACTCAAGAAAAGTTTCCCATGGTAAAGGCAGAAATTAAACCAAACAAGAAAAAAAAAGAACATAGGAAACAGAAGAAAACTTAAAAATTACAATATCTTTAGGGAAACAAGATATTGCATCCATGAAACAAGAACAAGATGACTAAAAAGAGAACTGGGGGCTGTGGGGGAGGAACCATAAGACACAAAAAAAATTCAGTAATTTTTTCCTAGCAAGAGGTTTAAACTCAAAAAACAGAAATTTAATTTCAGGCTAATTAGGAAAAGCCATAACTGATAAAAAGCTTATATGAATCTATAGAGAACTTCCTAATAAAACTTTCTGGGAATGATTTAAAGGTGTACTCTCTGACACATTTTCCAGTATTTTTTATTTTGATAGTATTAAACATTTATATTCTCTGGTTACATTTTACAGCGTTCTTAATTAGCTTTGAGCAGTTTAATTTCAGCTAATAAGAGAATGGCCTCTGAGAAACACTACACTAGAGTTGTCTGTAAATGAAATAAGGATAATAGATATATGCATACATTGTAAGCTCTACTATAACACGACAAGATATGGTGCATTCAGTTCTAAGAAAACAGGAGCATTAGCCTGGGAAAACAAGCAAGATAAGCTAAAAAGTGTCAAGATAGGGTAAGATTTAGAGTTAAAAGAATAAGTAAAAAGACTTGAGTCCTACTATTACTAAAAATTAACAAGAGGCAGAATTGATAATTCAGCTGGAAATCATTTATAGAAATGTGTACCTATAACTGAGTAAAAAGTCACGGTATATGGACCAGCTGGTGATGAAACGAAATCACTGCAGAATTTAGCAGACTAAGTCACAGAGGTTTTTCTTCCATCATCTCAAGGTGGAGACTCTTCTCTTGTAATGGCTGAAAGCCTCCAAGAACAGCCCAGCGCTAAAATAAGCTACTTTCTAGAAACTGGGGACGGGCAGCTATGAGAATGCCACCACTCTCAGAAGCAGCAACAAAATTGTTACCTTCTTTCTCCCTCAATGCCCTCGAACCACTCTTCATCCTTTCGAATTCTGTGACTCCCTTTCTCTCCAAATGTGTATCTGAATCTCTTCTTAGATGTAGAAATTACATTGTTTATTGTTACTCCTCTTATTTCCAAAATAAAAAAGAACTATCAAATAATAATAAAGAGCTCTATGAAACAAAAACCATGGGCCAGTCCCAGTGGCCTAGTGGTTAAGTTTGGTGCGCTCCACTTTGGCGGCCTGGTTTGGGTTCCCAGGTGAGGACCTGCACCACTCATCAGTGGCCATGCTGTGGCAGTGGCTCACATGCAAAAAGAGCACGATTGGCAATAGATGTTAGCGTAGGGCAAATTTTCCTCAGCAAAAAAAGAAAGAAAAAGAAAAAGAAACAAAGACTATGACAGAGAAAATTTAAATTTCGATAGAAGATAAAATTGGAGAAATTGCCTAAAAAGTAGTACAAAAGTCATAAGTATAACTTCTAAATACTGATTTAACAACAACAACAAAGGAATAATACCTATATCAAAAGAGAAGTGGAGAAAAGAAGTGATTTAAGAAAAAGAAAGCTAAATCCTCATCTGATGTAACAGGAAATCAGTAGGTAACGTTTTAAAATGACTCAGGAAATAGAAGATACATATCATATAGAGTCAATGAGGTAAATACCAGAAGAAATAGATAATAGAGTTGAAAGTGCTTGTCTGGTTTTTAAGCTTTGACAAAAAATATTCCTGTGACAAAAAATTAATTTTTAAAAAAGGGCTTAAACTTATTTGGCTTATGTACATAGATTAAAATAAGTTAATGTGCAGAAGTGTGGTTTAGGGGAAAGTTCATATTTCCAAGTGAGCTTTGTTTTGAACTGATATAATGTATAACTTTAAATTCTTATATGCAGAGGGAATTTTATAGATAGAATGTGATCAACATCCATCTATTTATCAGTTTTAAAAGGATAACAATGAGTTATAAACATAAGAAAACAAAAATGTAGCTGTTAAGAGAATAAGTCAATTTGTGAACATTACAAATTACTTAAGAATTTAAATATATATATATATGATCTTGATCTGATTACAAGCACTTGAAAAAAAAGGTTTTCGAGTAGGGGATTATCAATTTCACTGCACTTTACAGGTGTGTCAAACAGTGGTTCAAAGTAGTCTCGGGGGTTACAAGCCTTTCCCAAGCTTCCATAAGCAGCAGGGGCTTTTCAAGGGCATGGAGTGGACAGGAAACACGTAGCAAAGCTGTAGGCAGATGAGTGTAGCCTTAAAGGACCAACTGCAAAATCACCTCCTCCAGCCAAATTTACCCAAAGCAGCTTCTTAAATTGCCTTCAAAGCCCAATCCTACGACGTTCCTTTTTTTCCCTAGCATTTTTTGCCCATAAAGACAACTATTGTTTATCATCTCTGAGTGGAATTGTCCCACTGTGTTAAGCAACAGGCTTTTAGATAAGAGATAGCTTAGAAGCACATTTATAAACATTGTGATCTCTGCTCGTTTATATATTTTATAGCTTTGAAATAGAGAAGGGAAATGGCCTGATTCGTTTATCCATTTGCTTCTCTCTTAGCAAACCACAGCTTTCCATTCTATCCTAATAGGTTTGTTTTGAGTTGGACACACATAGAATGACTGTATCCTAATTACAGACTCCCAGTTCTGAGCTCCAACAGACTGGTGATTTGTGATGATAGTTTTGTATGTTTGTGATTCACAGTAAGACATTTTTCAAAAGGTCCAATTCCATTTTGTAGATTTACACTCATTCACGAATACAATGTACAGAAGCATTACCAGTCATTGGTTATCGTTATTCTCGTTATCCAGTTATGTACTAACCACATTTTATTTATTAAGTTACCCAGATCTGTACTGATGGAACTGAGGTCAGCGTCTACGCCTCAGTCCATTCCCCATGTTGATACTCAGCTGAGTCCACAATAATCCAAGGAGGGCTTTCAGGTACGTACTTCAAAAGCTGTTAGAAAACTGCATGAAAAAAAAAAGAGTTGTGTTTTAGAAAGGCTGAGAACACGACCTTAGTGAAATGTACATCTGGAACTAAGCTGGCCAAGAAGCCCACAAAGGAAGATGTGACACGTCAAACTTGTCGCAGAAAAGGAAGATCCGGCCGTTTTCATGGTGACGATTTTAAACACACTGCCGAGAATCATTCAGAGCCCTCCAAATATTTTTCCTTTTTTGTTTCAACTGGCTTCATCTTTCTTTAGTCTCTTCTGCCTGACCACAGAGCTCTCCCTCTCAGAAGAGAAAGGGGAAGGGGTGAACTATCTGCCAATGTCTAGAAACACTCTTTAGCTCAATGTTCAAGCAGCGCTTCCCTTTCCCACGCCCGCACCAACTCCTTTTGTCTGAGGCTTCACTAACATTTAACTTGCCTAAGTTTGTCTTATCTTCGACATACTAACTCTGGTCCTCAAACTCGAGAAAGCGGGAGAATTAACAACCCTCTCAGTGATGTACTTCATCACTTAAATACAAGGAGACCAAATCCATTATCCAGTTCAGTTCATGGGTATTTCTTGAGATCATCTGGGCAAGAATGGACTACGTCTGCTATGGTGTAAGTCACAGGCAAAAGCAAAGTCTTGAAGCTGAAGTTGCTCAAATGTAGAATATTAGAAGAAATATGCCCTTCCAGGCATTTCATTACTGTTTACTCACAAGCAAGGGAGAAATATAGTTAGTGCCACCTGTTCAGCCTTTATTTCCATGAAGGCAAAGGTTAAAAGAATAAAGATTGCCATCTGATATCATCTGAACTTTGAACTACTGAAGAAAAAGCCAGAGAGAGATGACTAGCTTGGCAAACTGGACTATTCCCTTACCCAAATTCAACCAAATCAGGCTTAATCCCTAGTCTGAAGTCAGCCTCAATTTAGCAGTTGCTCAAGAAATTAGTTCAGTTCCTAGAATGACCTGAGAGCTCAATTCACAGCCCAGAATGAACCCAAAGCTTCAGGTTCATTCCTAAAACACTTCCTGTATACCAGGCCCTGTGCTAAACAGCATCTCATCACATTTAACCTCCGGAACAACTCGAGGTGGGCATCACTGTCCATCTTCTTCAGATGCGGAGACCAAGCCCCAGAGAGGGTAAGGTCACTGAGCCAGAAGTGATGGGAGCTGAACCCAGGTCTGTCCAGCTCCAAAGCCTATCAGACTGGCTTTCGGACATGGGAAGACCACCTACTCCATCTAAAATAGCCCACCACTACCACTTGTCACTTTCTTCCCTTATTCTACTTCTTTCTAGCATTTATCTCTGAAATTACATCCATTCATTTCACAAAGACTGAATGTGCTTCTACTATCTTCCAAGCACTGCAGATCCAGCAGTGAACTAACAAACAACAATCTCTGCCTCCACAAAGCTGACATTATTTATTTGTTAACTTATTCCTGTCTGTCTCATATCAAAATATAATCTCCATGAGGGCAGGAACATTATCTGTCTCGCTTACTGCCTATTTCCAGCACCTAGAACAGCCTTTGATACACAAGTGCAATAGACAGCAAGGTGTGTCAAAGAATTCCATCGATGACATCCTCAGCAAAGGGGCAGGAAACTGGTCAAAACAACTCACTACATTGATTTTATTCCCGTGCAGAGTTCCTTATAGAGCGCTGTGTTAGTGCTATACCACAAACAGCCATTATATAAAGTTTTAAATAAAATCTCTAAGACATTCTGTTATTTTACAAATGTTGAAACAAACAGCAGTTTAGTCATCTTTAAGAGTTAATTTTTCTGGGCAAAAAAACTCAAATAAACCAGTATGCCACAATATCATAGCAGGCAGTAAATGTACATGAGGAAAAGAGGATTTTAAAATAGATTTTTATTTGCAAAAATATAAATAAAATAGAACTAATCTGAATCAGGTTCCTTCTTCTTTCTTCTTGTCCCTTTTGAGTAAGTCCCAGATTCCGTTATTTCTTTGCCATGCTCAGTTCGTTGTGTCAACCACTCTTTTTCTAGCTGTTTCAGCATGTCTGCAGTGAGGAGTCCTTGCTGAACCAATCTGGAAGCAAGGGACTTCTCTCCTGCATGGGGGCCGGGTGGCTCAGCAGCTTTACTCCCGGAAGTTTTGGTACTGCGTGTTCTTCTAGCTTGACTCTTTAAGGCGCCTGACAAACGGGACTGGCTCTCTGTTGACAAGCTCTCCAAATTCAACAGCTTATGTGTCTCTGAAATTTTAATCAGTTTGGTGATGTTGTGCACACCATCTTGGATAATGCCATCTAGCTCTTTCTGGAGGTCTCGAACAAAGCTGGCATCTGGAAACATATCTATAAATCGGTAGCTGGGAAAAAGACATATTACATTATAGCAACAGCTCTTATCGCAGTTGTTGAACTACTCTCGACGACATAACTACACCTTGGCACTGATTAATTCCAAATATTCTGTTTTTGCAAACTCTGTCCAGTGACTTTGCTCAACCTTTATTTCTGCCCCAATACACTAAGGAACATGTCTTTATGAGTGGGTCTTCACTCGTATCTTAAGTGATTCCAAGATGCTCCCCAGTGGGACATGCCCCTTCTTTGAGAATCACAACCTAGAGCAGTACCTCTCACATGTTAACATGCAAATAAATCACCTGAGGATCTTGTTAAAACGCAGAATTTGATTAAGTCTGGGGTGGGCCTGATACTCTAGCTCTAACAAGGCCCCAGGTGCTACCGATGCTTTTGGGTCCAGGGCCCACCACTTGTGTAGCACGCCTCTAGAGACCCTCCCCACCTGCCTCATCTTAACCAGAATCATACAAACTCCTCACGTCATTTTTGGAATGGGCATAAACCAGGCTCAACTGTCTCAATGGAGAATAAACATAATATAGAGCGCCCTGCAAACAGGTGCCTAATTTGAAAGAGCAACAGATCATTCATAAAACCTTTGATTTGCCATATTACTTAGAAAAATTAGAATACATAAAGGAAAAAGTTGGTACCTCAGCCACAGGTAAAGATCCAAGACATCATGGACAGCTTCAAGATCCATGAGGTCTTTAATATTCTTAGGTGGAAGTAATGGCCATTTAATATACCGGCGCAACCAAGAGAAGGTCAGGGGCTCATTCCTGCTAAACTGCCTGGCAAACTGAGAGAAACAGAAGAGTTTGGTAAAAGAATCAGAATTCACTTCAGTCTGTGATTAGGAAAAAAAAAGAAAGCACAACAAAATATTAACTGTGGGTGTATTTCAATAGGCAGGCTGGTTTCTTTCCTTCTTTATACTTTTCTATATTTTTAAGGACATTTAATACTTTATATAGGTACTTTTTTTTAAAAAAAAAAAGGATGATTTCCTTCTTTTTCCAAAACCAGGGCAATAATACGTGCATCAGAAGTTGTACAAGAACTAACTTTCCAGGGCCTGAGCCTATGAACATTTCACCTTCTAAGTTCAGGGCAGACTGTACCTCAAGACTCTCATTTCTATCCCTTCATGTGATAGTCCCATAACCTCAAACATGAGCTTAATCTTCTGTATCTTGTTAATGTCCTCTTTTATTACACAGAAACTCTTTGAGGTGGCTTGATGCAAGGTTGGTCATGAGTCACTCAAACTAGTAAAGAAACAGAGTCTGGTTTTGGCCAAGTCACCACTCTGTGCTTCAGCTTTCTCATCAATACCATAAGACCACCATCCCTCCTTCTTGAATCACAAGACACTGTTGGAGAATGTGCTTTGAAAACCATGCTGCCCCCTCGACACTGCTGGGCATGATTACACATCACAATACACTATAGGAGGCAGGAACACAAACCATATAAGACCTCTCAGGCAAGAGTTTAAAATCTTTAGCTTCAACAATAAGCTGATTTCAAATGGCTCAATTCCTGATTATGGAAAATTCTCTCTAAATGTTTAACTTAAGCAAGGCCAATACTTTAGAGAGGCAAGGCAGTTTTAGAACATTTGTGGTTAAATAATGTTATGATTTTATTAAATTCAGTCTGGTGCATTCTGCTAAGTTTAATAAATATCAAGTAGGATAGTCATGAAGGATGGAAATGTGACCATGCTAAATAAGCAGGACATGCCAAACGCAAGTTCTCTGATAAAGGCAGTGTCTTTAATATTTTTGGCCAACACTAGCGGAAGCCCAAAATGGAAAAAAGGTAAGTACAGAGCCGCCTAGAGAGGGGGAGGGAGAGATGCCCATCTATGCAGATACCTCCATCCAGCAGCCAGCCCTAAAGGAGCTCCGTGGAGCACAGTTTCAAAACAATTGTCCTAGGAGGCATCAGAGGCCATCAATGGAATTGAGCTTTTTTATAGTTCAGTAATAATGGAGATCAAGAAAAAAGGAAATACCTCTAGATTTCACATTCTAACCTGTAAACAGAACACATAAGCAACTGTTGACCTGTACTGCTTCGGACTCCTTACTCCTTAGTAAAATGCTTCTGCTTCATCAGAATGGCTGCTTAAAGGATGGTGTAAACAGAGTCAGGGCCATGCACTCAAGCTCCACGCAGGTCAGTTTACAGCATTTAAGCCTTTGTCACAAAAACTTCAACCTTATGCTAGCTAGCTCTCTCACAAATGCCAGCTCTAAGAAATATATTTTCTAGGTAAATATCTGGCCGTAGAACACCTCTAAGACATATTTAGGGAAAAAGAAGGCAAATTGCAGAACAATTCATTATAATGAGAAAACACCCACACAACAAAACTAGAATTTCTACACATACACGCACGCAGGCAAATACAACAGAAAAGGTCTGCAAAGATACACACAAACTGACAGTAGTTACATCAGAGGACTGATATTGGGGGTGGTAGCCCAATTTAATCTATCTGTAATGTTTCAATTTTGTGCAAAGAGAAAGTATTTATGTATTAATTATGTAATTTAAAACATAAATTTAGACACGGAGTTGATAAGAACAGAGCTGGTATGTAGAATGCTAAGGTCTATAGAGAAGACGGCAGCAAAACTACAATAATAAGATAGGAAAAGATCCAAAGAGGGGAGCTTTGGGATTAGTGGGGTGAGGAGCGCACTCCAAGCAGAGGCAATAGGGTGAGCACAGGCCCAGAGAGGGGAGAGAACACAGCGGGGCCTGCAAGTTCGGCTTCCATTGCCCTTCCCTGGCCCCTTTGTTTGGGTGAATCCTGTGCTTCTCAGAAGTCAGAGATTTGTATCCTGACCCAAATGAGTTAAAAGGAAAGGGGCTGGAACCTTGGCACCGAAGCCCAGGTGAAACAGCAATCTCTGGGGCAGTGTCTTGGAGTTAAGAAAACGGAGCACTATTCCACTGCTAATCCCTAACCCCCCTCCCTTCCAAAAAGTTACCAACAGCAAAGAACAGAGACCCCCGTCCTTCGAAAAGATTGTGATTATCTTTGTTTCAGCTTCTTCACAAAGGCTACCATATAAGCTCAAATACAAGGCAAGAGTTCACCTTTCCTCAAAAAGTTATCCTTCAGAAATAAAAGCCACTTTATATTTAAGTTCTTCCATAGTATTTCATATTAAAGGGTGCTCTCCGATTGTTTTATTTTGAATAACAAAGTATTGTTTGGGGAAAATGCATCAACCTGAAACAACTCAAAATATCATAGAGATAAAGGCTCACCTGTAATAATGACGAGCAGACAAAAGGCTGCTTCTTGTTGATAGGGGCTGTGCAGAAAACATACCGCACTCGCAGACTTAATGGAATGTGCTGGATTAATTCTGCAGAAAATTTAAAATCATCCATATTGCAGACAAAATACTGCCCATCAACTTGTGAAAAGTCTACAAAAATATCCTGGGGGGAAAACAGATAAATTACTGGACTAATTGGGCATGAATAAAGCACTCATGTCTACAAAAGACAACCTCTTGAATCCATAACAGACTCAGAAAGCCTGCTGAATTCACTGCCTCAAGCTAAAAGACGCCCCCACAGCCTTCCCAACCTGAGATACACAGAACTGCTTAGGAGAAAAGTCCCAGATTGTGAGACAAAGTTTTCACTTTCAAGATAAACTTCATAAATAGCAACTTCACTAAAACAGACTATCCAGTCATGCTCACAAAGTTAACTGGTAATTGTCTGGCATATCAACATTTTTAGAAAAGAGATTTAGAAGTGAGTTTCTACTTACAATGAGATTAGAAAGCGTTGTGTCAGGGAGATGGTAGGCAAACATTTCAATCTGTTCAGCAGTTGGATGAAGACCAGCCGCCTTTAGTAAAAGAAAAAACAACCTTAAGCTTATTTTTTTTTAAAAAAAGGATAAGTTTTCTTGTTATTTCAAGATAAAGTCTATATTCAGGCTAAGCTGTCATCAAATGAATTAAATGACAAGAATTTGAGTAAAATAGAGAAAGCATCATTATTGTACTATTTATTAGCAATGAGGAAGACTGATGAGATGATTTAATAACACTACATATATTAGTTATATATAAACTGTTTATTTTAGTTATATTTCTAAAATATATGATGATCTGACAGAGTACCAAAAATGCTTTTCAGGGTCTCAATTCTCTCTACTGAACAAAAACGAACAAGGAAAAACCTAACAGGGCAATAAAACTAACATACGTACATGAGTCTAAACTGGAGGTCAGTTATCTCTTTAACAGTATACTGCAGTGTTAAGAAATGCCTACAGGTAAGTATAAGCAAGAAAAAAGAGAGAATGGAAAAAAGAGAGGACAGACATAGGAGTCATGGGAAGGAGAAAGAGCACAAGAAATGAGGTTCAGAGGAGGGAAATGGGGTGAGTCATTATCAACTGCACTTTCTTTTTTTGGAGGAAGATTAGCCCTGAGCTAACATCTGCCGCCAACCCTCCTCTTTTTGCTGAGGAAGACCGGCCCTGAGCTAACATCTGTGCCCATCTTCCTCTACTTTATATGTGGGACACCTGCCACAGCATGGCTTGACAAGCAGCGTGTTGTAGGTCTATGCCTGGGATCCGAACTGGTGAACCTGGGCCACCAAAGTGGAGTGTGTGACCTTAACTGCTGTAGCACTGGGCGGCCCCTATTAACTGCACTTTTAACAAAAGCAACAGAAATGATTTCAACCACAGCTTTCCTCCAGGAACTTTTCCTTACATTATCTCATTTATAGTCCTTTTTACCTAGGGTCACTGAAAAATTAGATGAGCCATGTTAAGTGAATTTTCCAGGCAACTTTAAATTGTAACAGTTCGTTTGTTTAAAACAGTATACTTCTGCCTCATTAACTACACTAACCAAAATTTAACCTTGTCCTTACTGGCTCGAAGTTGTATTGCTTAGTGCTGTTTTTGTCCCACACTCAAGGGTTTCTTCTACATTCAAGCTTCTGGCACTTTTTCAGTCAGCTGACATAGCTGTGTGCCCACCTGAAGCAACTGTGCCCGTCTCCACCCACTGCTAGATTATACGAAGAACTAAAGGAAAATCAGGTTTACTAAACTTGTTTAATCTGGATCTGTCACTTGCATACCATTCTCTGACCAAGCAGAGTCTGTGACTCTCCAAAGCAATAAAGTAGGGCTTTCTCAACATGATTTTCATGGTGCAAAATTTTCTTCCCTTGTGTCTGTTTTCAGCTGTCTGAGGCAAGAGTCTGGAAGGTAGGTAAAGGAAGGATTGACTGTCCTCCACCACAGGGAGGAAGTAATTAACATGTTACACCTTACCCTTATAGGATCCACAGGCCTATTCAAAATTTCCCTTAATAAATTGAGGTCTTCTCGATTCATTGTTGTAACCTCTCCTTCTTTAAATTTCGAACTGAATCTACCAGCTCTGCCAGCAATCTGCAAAGCTTGAGAGGTGGTGATTGGTTCTATTTCTTTCTCTCCCTTTTCATTGATACTGGGCTTTATAAGGGAGTAAAAAATAATTCTTCTTATGCTCCTGAAATAGAAATAAAAGTGATCTCACAGACTGCGATGTGAAAAACCCTCCATCATCTGGGTCACTGCAGAAATGCTCACTCCAATTCTAGTTTAGGTCTACTTGCAATCTTGCCCACTATTTACAAAATAAGGAAAAGAGGTTTGTTGGTAATTCTTTTTCTTCCCTTTAAAGAGTATTGTTTAACAACTGTGTAAATTTACTAGAAATCATCAAATTAACATTTACAACAGTCAAGGGTAAATAGTATGGAAATTATACCTCAATAAGACTATAGAAAATAACTTTTTTAAAATAAGCTACATAGTTTGTTCTCAGATTGGTTTTTTTTTTCCCTGCTTTTTCTCCCCAAATCTCTCCAGCATACAGTTGCATATTTTAGGTGTGGGTCCTTCTAATTGTGGCATGTGGGACGCCACCTTGCATGGCCTGATGAGCCGGTGCCATGTCCATGCCCAGGATTCAAACCGGTGAAACCTGGGGCCACCAAAGTGGAGCCCACGAACTTAACCACTTGGCCAAGGGACTGGCCCCCTCAGATTGCTTCTCAAAGTTGGCTGCCATTAATGGCTTTGAATAGTTCTTTGATTCATATAGATGCCTTCATTCCCCAGAGAGGAATATTTAGGCTTAATACTATTACCCCTAGAGATAATGGTTAGCCCCACATGCATAACAGACCCTCCACACTTGTTGACTGAGAAACCGAAAATAAAGTGAGGTAACCTAACAGGTTAGCAGTGGTAAGGAGCAGCACTCAAAAATCCTAGTGCTACGAGATATTTTCTTTTTATTCCCTCAACAGCTGTAAGCAAAATAAATCTCAGATCTATACTAAAATACCCATTCTCCTAAATCAAAGTGTTTAGTCATTCTAATACCAGTTAGAAATTTTTTAATTGCCATCTAAGCCACTGAATATCCATAATTATTAAAAACAAATGACTTACAAATTAAGTCCCATGCCAATTGCATCTGTAGCAACCAGGATTTTGCATGGATCATCAGGATCATTAAACTTTTTTGCTTGAGCAAGTTTGGTCCCTAAAATAAGAACAGTTTATGTTAAATCAGCGTTCTCAATCTCTTACTACACTACACTAAGTATATCTCGGAAACCCTCATTTTTATGCAAGAAACTCTTATTGTTTTAAACGTATTTCTTCATATCCTCAAAAAACCACTTATCCTTTATTTCCACTCCTTTAAATAATCCCATATAGAGCAACACAATTCCCCACCACATTAGTCTTAGCATTTCTGAGGACACTTATTAACAGATTTCAGGACTACAACCTGAAGAATATTACCAAGTTCAAATTTTAATGACATCTCTATAAGAAAATCATCAGCTCAACATTTAAAATATAGTCTAACAATAACAGCAAATAACAAGAGCTATAAATAATTAAAATATTTCTATGCCCACCAAGATGAATTAGTGAAATACTTCTTCTACATGACCTATAACAAATTACTAATATATCAAGCAACCTAATTCAATATCTTTTATGGTGTTTTCTACACATATCTCAACATAAATGGCAAAAATAGGAGATTTCATATCCTATCATGATGAAAGCCAATAATTACCAGGTGGGAGACTGCCATATATAACAGCTGATTCCAATCCCCGAATTTCAATCTGCCGACTCACAGAATAAATATCATTCTTGCTAAAACAGACAATGCAGTCCCCAGGTCGAAGGTTGTCTAAAGATTCTAGCGCATGGTCCAGCACAGTAATGGGGGTAAGCCTCTTATAGGTTCGAACCTACAATAAAGACATGATTTGTAAAATACCACACCTAACTCAACTTCTTGTAATTAATAGAGTGAAAAACTTGCAAAGCAATCAAGAGTAGCTAAAAACCTGACAAGATCCCATGTTTTTCAAGAGAAAAATATTTATTTTGAAATTATAAATGTTACCATCAGTTTTCACTGGTATTTGTAAATGAATAAAACGTTAAAAAGATCAGGTCTGATGAGGATTGTTCCAGTTCTAGACTTCTGTGATTTGCTTAAGAACACAAAGTTAATAACAGCAAAGCCCAGACTAGAACCCAGAATTTCTTCCACTACATTCCATTATCGCTCGCGGAAAGCTGAGCACAAAACTAAGGTAACAGACCAATTTAAAAATATTTCTTGGGGCCGGCCCCGTGGCCGAGTGGTTAAGTTCGTGTGCTCCGCTTCGGGGGCCCAAAGTTTCACCAGTTCAGATCCTGAGCGTGGACATGGCACCGCTCATCAGGCCATGTTGAGGTGGCATCCCACACGCCACAACTAGAAGGACCCACAACTAAAATACACAACTATGTACTAGGGGGATTTGGGGAGAAAAAGCAATTAAAAAAAAAAAAAGATTGGCAACAGTTGTTAGCTCAGGTGCCAATCTTTAAAAAAAAAATCTCTTATTATAGAACTCTGGCAAAGAAAATGAAAGCAGGATGAAAAGGAAACTAGTTACTTCCTCCTACTCTAGCAATTTAAGAACGAGATACAAACTATCTCTAGCAATTAGATGGATATCAAAGGCCCCAATATCTGATATCTAAGACTTTGAAAACCACAACCTTTTGCTGAGCCTCAAACTTCCAACCTTACTGATTTATTTAATTCTAAGGAGATCTGCTCAAACTCCAAAAGCTTTTATCATGAGAAGATGAAGCACCTCCTTCCTGCACTTTTGGAAGACTTAGGGTGTGATGGCCACTCTGTCAGAACTTCAAATCGTAAGGTTCAACCAAGTGTGTATGATCTAGCCAACTACGAGGAAACAAAGCTTTCTTTTCATTTAAGTTCTGATTTTGCCACTACCTGGGGCCTATGAAGCCACTGCCTGGGTACTGGGCTATTTGCTATGCACCCTTGAGAACAAAGCACATAATCTGGTACCTCCACTTCCTCCCCAGTTGTGTACATAAGCTCAGTAACCAGGTCAATAGCAGCAGATTCTCCACACAAGTGGACTTCTTCAGCACAGAGTCCTGTTAAATACAAAACAGGGATTTTTTTTTTTTTAATTTTAAAGATAAAAAATTAAACATGCAACACTTTACATAGCAAAAATACTTAAAGTTTGCTTACCTACTGGTTTACAACTTTACAAGTGTTTTCATAAATATTATCTCTTTGATTCAAACCTCAAAACAACAACCTTCTAGTGGGCAAAGATTATCTACATTTGTATAAATTTCAGGGCTTTTAAATTACTTTGGCCAAGGTTTTGAGTGTACTAGAGGGTGAAGCCAGTCAGGACTAGAACCTGCAAACTGATGGATAGTACTGAACATTAGACCCATCTTGTGGCTTTCAAATTAGGCTCCATGGACTCACTGAGGTGCCTCAAGAGACTGGGGGCTGGCGGGCAGAAGAACCTCCAAGCTCCTTACTCCTCAGCAGATCCACTTTCATCTGTTTTACATTACAGGCTTCAATGCATACTCTTTGAAGAAAGAGTTCAGCTATTTGTTTTTAAATGTGACAACACCTGCCCCACAACATGCTGATCAAAAATTCACTCCAATATCAAGCAGTAGAAACATTCCTTCACGTTCCTGGACCTCAAAAACTTCATTCCCAGTAGCCTATCCTAAAGAAATAATAAAATAAATAAATAGAAAGCTATGGCCACAAACATCTTTACTGCAGCATTATTAATAAGAGGGAAAATGTTCAACGCTATGGAACAAATTACAGCACAACTCTTCAATGGAGAACATGTAATATTAATACGTGGTGTGAAAAAAAAGTATGAAACAATAGAACTGAAAAAGAGCAAGATACATAATTATATATATTCACAAAATACCATACGCATGAGAAAAAGACTGGCATGAAATACCAAAATATTAATAGTGGTTGTTTAAATATGGTGAGATTTGAACATTTTAACTTTAATTAAACGGTTATGCTAATTTTATAATAGGAAAAATGGACTTCCCCCTACTAAAATAATATTTAGAAAATAAAAACTCACACTTAGCTGACTTTTTTGTTTGATTTGTGTTAAAAAGAGAGGACCTAGCTGGCTCTCTTTGGCAATGTCAAGCAGATAAATGCATCTCAGTGCACATGTTAAAAGGCATAGGTTTTATAGCATTAAGACCACCAACCTAATACACGCACCCCTATGTTCATTGTAGCATTATTCACAATAGCCAAGACTTGGAAGCATCCTAGGTGCCCATCAAGAAAGAAATGGATAAAGAAGATGTGGTATATATACACAATGGAATACTACTCAGCCATAAAAAAAAAAGATGAAATCTTGCCGTTTACAACAACATGGATGGACCTTGAGGGTACTATGCTAAGCAAAATAAGTTAGAGGAAGAAAGTCAAATACTGAATGATCTCACTCATAAATAGAAGATAGAAACAACAACAGGGCCAGCCCCAGTGCCCTAGTGGTTAAGTCTGGCATGCTCTGCTTCAGGGCCCTGGGTTCTGTTTCCAGGCATGGATCTACACCACTCCTGTCAGTAGCTATGCTGTGGTGGCGGCTCACATACAGAAAGAGGAAGATTAGTAGCAGCTGTTAGCTCAGGGTGAATCTTCCTCAGCAGATGACAACAACAACAAACAACAACAAATATAGAGAAGAGATCGGATTGGTGGTTACTAGAAGGGAGGTGGGGAGGGAGGAGGGCAAAAGGGGCTGATCAGGTACATGTGTGTGGTGATGGACGGTAATTAGTCTCTGGGTAGTGAACATGATGTAAATCTACACAGAAATCAAAATATAATGGTGTATACTTGAAATTTATATAATGTTATAAACCAATGTTACCTCAATTAAAAAAAAAAAGACCACCAACCTAGAAGTGCTCTGGTCCAGGCCCATCCTCTGGCTGGATCTTTAATCATTTGAATTTCATCAATCACAGCTACTTCATCTTAAAATAAAAAGTTATCATGAGCAATACAATCTACTCAAATAGTATTATAAATAAATTACACCACCAAAATTCAAGCTTTCAACACTACTATAATCATCATCATTGCTCACTAAGTGTTTCTTTTCTGGCAGGCTTGTTCTAAGTACTTTACAATTATAACTCATTTAATCCTCACAACAAACCTATGAAGTAAGTATCATCATCTCCATTTTACAGAAGAATAAACTGAGGCCCAGAGAAGTTAAGTCACTGGCCCACATACGCAGTATGTGCAGTTAGTAAGATCTAAAAACATGAAATTCAAACCCAGGCCATCTAGCTCCAAAGCCCACACTCTCAACCACTCTACGGCACTCACTGCCTCCCAAATCGAGCAGGTTCATGTGGCCTATTTTCCGCAATCTCAGAGGCAGCCTGGAGAATCTACCCGGTAAGAACTAACCCACCTACTGAGTAGTAGAAGAAGGTATCTATGCTTCCAGGAACAAGAAGCAGATAACCCTGCAGCAGACGAAGCATCTCTACCACAGGAACCCCGCTGGGTGTCAGGAGCAGAAAGCTGAGTAGGAAGCGTAATTCCCTGAGCTCCAGCTACACTCATTCTTAGGGGTTTTAAGCTCATCACTATAGGAAAAATTAGTGCTTCGTTTTATTTTATAATGCCAAAATGTTTCCAAACATATTATTTTATTCTCTTTAAGTCATATAAATTATATTTTAATTTTCTCCCCAAAATACCAAGGAGTTGGAAGGGCACGTTAAAAAAAAAATTTAATATGCCTGCAATGACATTTATGAAACAAAAGAAAGCTAACTTTTAACTGAAAAAGCATCAGATTAAAAATTACTTATCACACTTGGGTATACACAAACAAGATTAGAAAGAGGGGGCAGAAGAGGGAATTTTGATTTATAAACTCCCGTGCTATTTGAATTTTTACAGTGTATTACTTTTATATTAAATTAATTTTTTAAAAACTATCCATTTACTCAGAAAGTTAAGATAAAATGAAAAAAAACAAGATACCAAATAGTACATAATACATAATCCTTATGTTATTTAATACCACACTCACGATGCACACATAAGTATATGAATACACAATACGAATACAAACAAAGAAAAAGTCTGGAAAATGTCCACCCCAGGGTTAACATTTGTTGATTCTGGGTGGGTGGGATTGGGAGATCATGTATTTTTTTTCTTCTCTTTGCATTTTTATATTTTCTACAATGAAGATATGACTGCTGATATAATAAGAAAAAACAATTTTCACTTAAAATATTTTAAAACTACTTAAATAGAAGTTCATTGAAGTGATGTATATAATAGTGAGAAACTTTAAACAACCTAAATATCCTTTAATAGGGGAATGAATAATTTTAGTCATAAGATGGAATACTATATAACAGTTTAAATGAATAAATTTGAGAGATATATAAAAAACAAGACTAGATCTAAAAATGTATAGAATGAAAAGCAAGTTGTGGAACAATACAACATGATAATCATACAAAGGTTTTAAAACATATAATCTATAGTATTCATAGGTAATATAGATCAATGATATAAAAAAAGGCAGGAAAGATACACAAAATATTTGACCGCAGTTAGATCAAGAGGGGAGAGGAACTGAACGAGGGAGTGATAGAGAGGAAACTTCATACGTGTTAACATTTTAGTTCTTTTAATAGAAAAAGGGAAAGAATATTCAAACACTGATAAAAAAAAAATGGCAAGCAATAGGATATATTGGAGTAAACGAGGAAGCCATTTGGTGTAAAGCTAATTTGGCCTGACCTTGTTTTTTGCAAAAGGGCCTGAAGCAGCCATTGAGCATGCATTGTATACCTGCTTTAAGCATTTGCTCCATCCCAAAGACAAGAACAAACCCCCTTAGGATAAAGGTACAACTTCCCCCACATTAGCATTTTCTTAAGGATAAGCAGCTTTCCCTAGACTAGGAATCGATTGCCGTGCCCACCTGTGACCACTCAGCTCTGAGACAAGAGACCCGCTACTTGCTGTGTCCATCAATTGCTGTGCCAGCTAGGCAATCTCATGACTATTGTAAAAGGGACACTTCAATCATTTGTGATACATGCTCTTTGATGGTGTATAACCACTTTGTACACCCCCATTTCTTTGGAGTGCTCATTCCTTTGTGGAAGGACTCTCCAGGCTGTACGGGCCTCACATCTGCCTCATAATAAACTCACCGCAACTTGGATTTATAAATTGGTTATGGATTATTTGTGTTGACAATGCAAACAAGACAGAGTCCGGCATTTATTAGTGGTGGTAGGTACTGGGTATTTATCGTACTATTCTCTTCTTTGTCCCAATTTAAAAATTTTTTCACAATAAAAAACACATTTCATATGTTCATACATGTTTTAAAATAAAAAAAATCATAAGGTTTTTTTAAATGGCATATACATACAAGGAGTTGTAACGCTACACATTTCAACAGTACAAGCCACATGGGCAGCCTGTTTCCCATCTGGCTCTACTGTCACACGCTCTTCACCTGTTACCAAGTCACATGGCACACCCTAGGATGACACAAAGAAAGCTGAAATTATTTCCACTTAGAAAACAAGTTTTGGATGTTTAATAGAGTATTCTCTCCATTACCAACAAATTTATTTGTCTAATAGCTGAAACAAAATATAACCGATTTTTTAAAAAAGTTTTTTATAAAAAATAAAATAAAAGCCACTCTCTTACATAACTAGGTAAACTTGGAAACATCTCAAATCAGCCAAATTCTCAGGTAACAAAAGCATGAGAAATTGTAGCAGTTTCACTTTTTAACTGTACATTTCTGCACTATTTCAGTTCATTAAAATAAAATGAACACGAATTGCTTCTATATTCAAGAAGAATATTATAAATAAAATTTAAGAATGTAAGGATCTAAGATAATTCCTTGAGAAGGACCAACATCAATGCTACAGTATAGTAGAGTGATCAACCACCCCAGTTTGCCCAGGACTGAGGGGTTTCCCAGGAGGAAGGACTTTTGCTGTTTAATCTGGGAGACTCCAGGCAAACTGGGACAAGTGGTCTCCCTGGTGGCCTGAAACTAAGCAGGAGGAAACATCAGACACATCCAAACTGAGTGACAGTTTAAAACACAACTGACCTGTAGTCTTCCAAAATGTAAAGATTATGACAAAGAAAGACTGAGGAATTGTTTCAGATTAATGGAAACTAGAGATATGACAACAAAATACAGTGTGAATCCTGAACAGAATCTCAGGGAGAAGGGAAGTAGCAGAGGTGTTGCTATTGGACAACTGGCAAAATTTGAATATAGACTGTGGATTAAATAATAGTATTTGATCACTATTAAACATCCTGCTTCAGATAAATATCCTGTGGTTATGTAAAAGGAAGTCTTTGTTCTGAAAGCATTTATGGATAAGAGGGCATTATGTATGCAAATTACACAAATTTTTCAGAACAAAAAAGAGAATGCAAATTACCTACCAAAACTGGTTAATTTCACATTATAAAGTCATAATAAAACAATGAACCAAAATGTGGCCCATTTAGTGAAATAATGCCTCAGATCACAGGGCATGTAGTCCTTTACAGGTCTGAAAAGGTGGCTTCAGTCTTTATCATTAGTTCTAGTAGATAGCATCAGAGGTCTAATCTAAAAAAGGTAAATTAACAGAGTAGTGGTTAATTCTGAGGAGGCAAAGGAGGAGTTCAAAGGGAGTTCCAACTAAATCAGTATTTTATTTCTTAAAAAAACATAAAACAAGTATGCCAAAATGTTAGAATCTGATGGGAGTTGGGTAGTGGGCTCAGGTTATTTGTATGTTATTCTCTGCATTTCTCTGTATATGTGAAATTTTCTGTAATGTTGTATTTCACTCATTCTAATACACACATTTTTTCACATTTTAGTATCTCCGAAATCAGGATACATCTTAACAATTGATGGCATATCAGAGTTCAGTTAGCAGCATCTTTTTCTTTCTCAGTTGTACATAAAATAATGGTACGTCTCACAACTGATGGCTGCTTAGATGCAACGAAATATGGCAATTTTTGTTAATGGTAAATTACTACACATACACCCCACCCTCCACTTCACTCTGTCCCCAGCCCACTCCCATTAACAAGAAAAAGAGCGAATATTTGGTAATATACTGACAGCCGCATTACTCTTTTCGAAGATCTCATGTGCCAGTAATTTTAAAGGGCCACAGTACACTCCAGATTTTGCTGATAAGTATTTCTGAATTGCATGATAAGTCTTTCCACTGTTTGTGGGGCCTGAATGGAATATTATCTTCCGCTGTATGGCTCTGGCTTCTGGGTACCTAAAACATGAGTAGGTAAATAGCTTAATCTCATTAACCTCAAAATCCATCCTGGCAAAGGTATCAATTAAAAAAAATTCCAATGAAACATCCTCTTAACATTCACAAGATAGCATCTTTGAAAAACTAAATTAAATGAGTTTCATTTCCATGCTAAAATAATGACTGCTTTCCAAGAATGGCATTTACTAACTAGAGGACAGAAAAATGCAAATTAATCTCAGATATTTTTGCCATTGTACCAATCCCTTTTCCTCAGGAGTTACTTAAAAGAAGTTTAAACTGCTGTTAGCTCCATACTTACGTTCACATCATTTCCACAGCTCTAAACACATGATCCCTAAACAAATATTCCCAGGCTTCTGAACTTCAATGTATACAATGTAATAACTGAGTCTTCTGCTTCTGTTCATGATGAATGGTACCGGACTTGCCCTCCCACCATAAACAAGAAATATATGCAGCAGCTTCTTGAGGACATGGACAACAGGCAACGCAGGACTACAAGCCCTGAAAGAAGGGCACTTGAGATGGGCCCCAGTGTACCCCAGTAGGACGCAGGGAGGTGAAACCCAAGCAAAGTATGACAGTCTCACTGAGCAGAGCAGCAGGTATCAAGTTCAGTGCTGCTGAAGCAGCCGGACTTTGAAAAGCAGTGTGTGGAAGTGAGGAAAAGAGGCAATGGAGGGGGAGCCTTGAAGCCTGTTGGGGGGTTCCCCATGGGTCCTTGGTCAATGGCTGGGCTGAACATGCGCAGGGTCTAGCAGACAATAGCTTGCTAAGGGTTTGAGTGGAAAGTCTCAAAGAGGGAGCAAAGTGCTAGGAGACGGTGGCGTTCCAGCCACGGTGGCGGCGGAGAGGGAATACTGACACTCTAGAGGCATTCAGCTGAGACACCAGAAAGGCCACATCTGGACCAGAAGGACAATATCCTAAAGTAAGGGCTACTCTAGATCTGTCTTAATAAAACCTAAAACCAAGCCTGATCAGGGTCAAGGGGAGACACCAGTTAATTAACTTCCAAAATTAAGTGCCAGTTTTTCTAGGGAGACTCCTTATGATTTATCATCCAGCATACAATAAAAAAATATAATGGCCACTAATCTCCCAATTAGAAACTGAAAATTTCAAATCCACAAATGAAGAAACTAACCAGTTAGGTGGTATTCTTAAGTCACTGATTTTACGTAGATCATCCTTACATTCCAAGACAGGAAATATCTGTTTTGCATGTCTCAAGAAAAATGGAAATAAATCATCCACATGAGCTGGAAAATAAAACAATGCATTAACGCATGTAATCTACATGTTATCCATAAATGAAGTGAGTGAAACCTTTTTTCTTTGTGAGTTAAGTTATGGGGACACTGCCAGGATAAAAAGGAAAACCCAGGAGCAAGGACCTCTATCCTTTTCTGAGATCCTACTTTGTCTTACATTTTCCTCTTAATTTCATTTATATTTTCTAGAAAAACAGAAAACTGGCTGCCAACCACCATGTTCTACTCCTCCACAAACAGGTAAAGATCAGCACTGGTGAAAGTTAAATTAAAAATAAAGAACCTGGAAACATACACTAGAGAGAAGGCCTGTGGTTACTGAAGAAAAATGCAGGTGAAAATAATTTTTAAACCACAGAGACCACTGAGGGACAAACACGAAAGTGAACTCATTCCTCGGCAAGAAGTCTCCACACCTTAGTGGCTCTGAGGAGGGTGGGGCTGTATCCCACTCTGCTTTGTATCCAGGTTCTAGCTCGATGCCTAGCACAGGGTACAGGTTTAATAGTCAAATGCATCTTAAAAATATAATCAAAGTCAAACTGTCTATGGCAACAAAATAATGATGCTTTACATTCTTTTCTTCTATAGCAAAAGCTTTGTCCTGATATGAGGAAGAAGAAGCCAGTGGCAGAAACAGATGGAATCTGCTATGTATTAATTCTATCTTGTGTGAGAGTTCATTTCACGGTGCCCTATATGAACAGAGTGGGAAGCAGATGGTGACATATTAAGGCCCCAGGCTTCCTCCCGTCTAAGACGCATGGGTGATTTAACAACTAGCTCAGGGACCCACTATAAAAACAAAAGGACCTAGAAGGCCTCCAAGAAAGCACTGAATTATCTACAGAGGATGTTAATAGGGCCTGTTCTCAGACAAATAGCCCTGATTACAGAAACAAACATGAAGTATGGGAAGAAACAGAAGGTATGTTCAACAGGATTTTTTAAAGTCTCTAAACACTTGCCTGCAGTGAAGCAAATATCATTCAAAATAATGTGAATGTCCACATCCAGGGAATGAGACTGCATGATATAATTTCTAAAGCTTATGAAAGCTTGGTGGAAGAGACGAGCTGTGGGAAACACAAAATCAAAATACGTAGGGCTTAGTTTTCATTTCATTTCTCATTAAAAAGAAGTACATATACACATCACACCTAACTCATCAAAGTGTCTTTTTTTTCCTAGTAGTACAGCCAGTCTATTACTGTCTGGACTAAAACTGAAATCCTAGCACAACATGCAGGAGAGCTGAACACACAGCTCCTTTGCCATGTGTCCGGTTAGCCAGGGACATCTTGCCAGTCTCCTGCCCAGGCAAAAGCAAAGGTCAGGAACATCCTCCAGATTACAGTGTACTTATGTCCAGACCACACAAGGTGCCACACAATACTGACAAAGCTGTAATCTAAGAAGTAATAAAATATCTCTAATGGAAAAATTATTAGCCTTACCATCGAGTCCATAATCAGCAGCCAGCTTCTGAATCTCTTTCCTCTTATAAAACTTGTCTAAGATCTTCTTTACTTCATCTGGAAGAAAGATATCAAAATTTAACATTTGTTTAACATTTGTTTTCCAGATAGAGAAATGCCCAAAAAGCAAAAGAAACTTGAAGTCATAACACTCAAGGCAGCAGTCTACTGAGTGTTGTAAGAACCTAAAGGTTTTAGTTGATCATAAACTCTTTATGGTTTAAGTGCAATGGAGTGTCTAGAAAAATTATAGTCAAACAATGCAATAGTCCTGTTCTACTCCAGAGGAACAAGCAAGTTGCTACAGGATTAGGCAGTGCCCCTAGCCTCCATCAGGCCACCCTTAGACAACCACATTCTGTTTCATTTACTTACAACCATTCTGAACATCTAAGTGAGCAGCTAAAAGGCATCTAGAAAGACAACCAATACTGTCAGGGTAGATCATCGTGTTTTCACACAAATGACTAAAGGAGCCAGGATGACCTTTAGTTTGAAGAAGATGATTTTAGGGAGGACAGATTATACCTATCTTGTTCTAGATGGCATAATTAAAGTCAGTGGGAAGTGAGGGAAACAGATCCCAGTGGAATTTACACAAGACTTTCCTAACAATTAAAACAGTGAAAAGGGTTGCCTCACAAAAGTGCCAGCCCTTGGGGGTGGCCCAGTGGAGCGGCAGTTAAGTTTGCACATTCCACTTCTGCAGCCCAGGGTTCCCCAGTTTGGATCCCGGCTGCAGACCTACACACCACTTATCAAGCCACGCTGTGGCAGGCGTCCCACATATAAAATAGAGGAAGGCGGGCATGGATGTTAGCTCAGGGCCAATCTTCCTCAGCAAAAAGAGGATTGGTGGCAATGTTAGCTCAGGGCTAATCTTCCCCCCAAAATAAATAAATAATTAAAAAGGAAAACAAAAGTGCCAGCCTTTTGTCACTGAAAGTACTCAAGCAAGGCTTAGATGACTGCATTTCAAGAGTGATGGCAGGAGCCGGCCCCGTGGCTGAGTGGTTAAGTTTGCGAGCTCTGCTCCGGTGGCCCAGGGTTTCGCCAGTTCGAATCCTGGGTGTGGACATGGCACCGCTCCTCAAGCCATGCGGAGGTGGTGACCCACATGCCACAACTAGAAGGACCCACAACTAAAAAAAAACAACACACAGCTATGTACCGGGGGGCTTTGAGGAGAAAAAGGAAAAATAAAAACTTTAAAAAAAAAAAGAGTGATGGCAGAGAAATTACTGTGTGGTAGGGGAGGTTGAATTAGATGCCTGATGAAGTAACATGCCACTGTGAATAACTTTATAGGTGAAAATATTTTAAATCAATCAAGCTGAGATTGTATTAACATTGTACATGTTAATTGTGCTGCATTATTCTATAGAGATAAATATTTCACTGATCCAGCCGCACACTCTGCATTTCTGGGCAGGGAGGCCAAAATTGAGGATACAACTTTTGTTCACGAAACACAAAAAGGCCAAATGGCCTGTATTTTCACCTCCCACAAAAGTGCCAACTGCATTTTCATACAACCACAACACACACAATGCTCACTGAAGAAATTAAGCCTGAACAAAGCATCCCACTTACAATAATTTGTTTTGCAGAATGAGGGGATTTCATAATCACTCGTTTAGCCACTACAGTTGCCCACAACTAAATGTGAGATACATACATATATATATCTCCCATCACAGGCAGCTATCCTCATATTTCTGGGTTTCTGTTACTTTGTACTCAGTGGGGGCAACAGTTTCTTAGCATCAATAGTGGAAAAATCAGTGGCAAATAAAAGATCGGAAAAAAAGCACATGCAATTGATTGGGGAAATTCTGCTGATCTACAAACTCAATAAAAACCGAAGACATCACATTTATTTAGAATTAACCCATTTTCTGTAACACTCTCGAGTGTTATACAAGAATGATGATAAAATGCTTCGAAAATATGAGGTTTCTCATGCTAAGTGAAAGAAACTAGTCAGGAAAGACCACATATGATATGATACTACTTATATGAAATGTCCAAACAGAAACAGAATATGGATTAGTGGTTGCCATGGGCTGGGCAGAGGGGAGTGGGAGCTAGCAGAAATGGGGAGTGACTGCTATCGGGTATGGGATTTCTTTGTGGGGTGATGAAAATGTTTAGAACATTTTAGAAATTAGATTATGGTGATAGTTGTACACTCCTGCAAATATATCACTTAATTATACACCTTAAGTGGATGACTTTATGGTATATAAAAATGGTATTTTAAAGCTGTTTTAAAAAATGAGTATTACCCACACAAAAAAAGAGATTTCTCTGTATCAGTACTTTATTTTACCTAAAAGGATTTTCTAAAATCCACTATCAATTTTTAAAAGATAACTGCAAAACATTAACACAAGGGAAATAGCACTGAAAGAAACTGCAATCTACAGAAGTATATAGATACATAGTTTTGTTTTTCATAAAAATTAAGCTTTAACTGTTTCATTGTTCCTAACAGAATGACCTGATTTTGGGTTATAATTAGTTCTCATTAAAATTAACAGTGATTAAAGGAGACACTCTTTGGATTTCAGCCACAGTGGAAATGACTCAGTCACAACAACTTTTAACCAGGCAACAGCTTTCTCCCAGCTCCCTACAATGGGGGCCTGGGACTTAATATCATTACTTTGAGATTCAACCTCATTTGCTAAAATTAAGAAACCCACTGCAAACTCTAAGCAAAACGTTCAAGACAGTCCATCAGAGTAGATTCTCTTCTAAGATGCAAATGTCCTCACGTGAGTCTTTACACAAAAATAATGATCCACTTTACTCACTCCACTGACATCGGGATGAAGAACAAAGTACTACAGGGTTGGGAGTACTTAAACCTTATGATTTACCCATTTTGCTAAAATGTTTTAATTCACTTGTTTCACTGTACTCATCAGTAATTAACTAGAAGCCCATCCAAACACCAAAGCTACATGCTCACTTGAGGGTTGGAGAAGCAGATGGGACGGTATGCAACTCAACTTCTTCATAACAGAATTGGAAAGGCCAAAGGTAAAGTGGAAACAGAGGTGGAGAGAAGGGATCAGGAGAGGTGAGAAAATCTCCAGGATCTAAAAGGGAAAAGCAGAATCAATCCTGAAGAGCTTGTATCAAAGACCACCTAGTAGTGGCATTTAGTTCCTGCCCCTCTAACATGGCAACTAGTATTACTATCCTTGTCACTGAATATGAAGTTGCAGCAGAATATCATTCTAGTAGTGGTAGGAACTCATGCTGAACCTTTCACGTCATCACAAAGGGAATTATAAAGAAGTAGTACTAGATTTGCTAAAACTGCAATATTACAAAAATTAGGCTAAATATCTCTGACATTTCTGCATCTCTCTCAGGTGATGGGTGTGACGGCAGCATTAAGATTGATGAGCCTTGGCTTTTCCCTACACTGCCAAATGTGTCTGTGCCTGATACACGTACATCAAATTACAATGACGTCGTTAAGCCTCTGCTTTTTCATAAGGTTCCTCTTGCAACCAACAACATGATTCTCATCCAGGAAGCCAGAGGCGCTCTGATCAGAAAAGTGTCGCCTAATAGCCTATACTGAGACTGTCTCCATAATCTCGAGCCCCTTAGCATTACACCGTAATTCTGTACTTCATAAGTGGTATGCCAGAACGTATCAGTTCAGGTGTTTTAACAAGCAAGCTTCCCCAAAACTCCGACTCCAGTTCACCCTAATAGGGAGGTGAGTGGCTTCAACCCTCTTGCCACAGCTCTATGAACCCAAGTTCCAATCTGCATCTAGTCATCTACCACCACTAGAATCTATGCGCAAACTACCACAAACTGCCTCAATTAATCTGATGCCTTCCCTAGGAGTCACAGCTGCTTATAAAATCCACCATCAATTTTATCTGTTGCTGCCACCTCCCATAAACATGCCAGTGATGAATCAAAAATCAAAGGAGATCATGATCTGGAGGTGCATCTGTCACCCATGGTCAGCCTGGGCTCACCTGGCTGATCTCAACGCCTGGGTGCTACCCTCCTCCTTCACTGCTCCATTTGAGACCACTCAAAGCTTCCAGCTCGGTCAACTTTCCCAGAAAGAGGAGGGCCACTCTGCTGTCAAATGTAGCTCCAAACACTTAAAAATTCATAACAGTGCCCAAAAGACACAAAAACACTGCTCTGGTGGAGCCAGCTGATTATGAGTAGAAATATATCTAGTGAATTTTACACTGGCTATTAAGAGCCTACAGAAAGAGAGGCTAAAAGAAAATCCCCTATTTATACAATAAGCTAACAATTTGTACATTATTTTGTTAAATCCTCACATCAACCTATATTATACAGGTAGGGTAGATTATTTGGGCTCCTAGGGGAATAGTTTTTCCAATTTCCACACATCACAGATTCTACTGCAGGATAACAACCTAACGTTTTTATTTCGCAGGCAAGAGTCACCCTAAGCTAACAGTTGTTGCCAATCTTCTTCAGTTTTTCCCCCCTCCCCAAAGCCCCAGTGCATGATTGTATATCCCAGTTGTAAGTCATTCTAGTTCTTCTAAGTGAGCCCATACCACAGCACAGCAACTGACAGACGGGTTCCATGACTAGGAAACAAACCTAGGCCACCGAAGCAGTGAGCGCTCAGCTTTAACCACTAGGCCAGCAGGGCTGACTCAACAGTCCAACAACTTTTAATTTCATTTTTCAAACAGCAAATGTTTAGTACAAATGATACTAGTTTACATTTTTTTCACCCCCTTACACTTTCCAAAGTGCTTTGCCAAACATGTTATGATGATTTTCAGAATCCAGAGATGTAGGCAGAGAAAATATTATTCTCATTTTACTAATTTGGAAATGGAGAAGAGGTAAGTAAATTGTAAAGCAGGTCAGTCACTTAAGTACCGTATGACTATCACAAATATGCACCATCTTTCTACTTGTAGTCAGTCAATCTACATCCACACGGCTAATGTGTTACATTCAACCAGAAAATATATATATATATTCAGCACCTACTCTGTGACTAGATGAGTGCTTGACACATAGTAGGCATTCAATAAGCATTTGGAGGGAATAAAGACAGTGTCTACCTCATAAGGGTTATTAGGAAGATTAAATGAGTCACATGCTTAGATTGGTGCCCGTGTCTCACAACCATTCAATATCAGCCATTCCAGTTAAAAAAAAAAATGAGGGCCCAGCCCGGTGGCAGAGTGGTTAAGTTCACACGTTCTGCTTGAGCGGCTGGGGGTTCACCGGTTCAGATCCCAGGTGCGGACATGGCACCGCTTGGCGAAAGCAATGCTGTGGTAGGTGCCCCACATATAAAGCAGAGGAAGATGGGCACAGACGTTAACTCAGGGCCAGTCTTCCTCAGCAAAAAGAGGAGGATTGGTAGTAGTTAGCTCAGGGCTAATCTTCCTTAAAAAAAAAAAATGAGGGAAACACAGAGGCATTCTAGGCAGAAGGGAGTAGCACGTGTAAAAGGCCCTGGGGCAAAAGTGCACATTTCATCAATATGGCTGAACGTGGAGACTGGTGTGCTATGACACTGGAGAGGTACCCAGGCCAGATCAGGTGGGCCTTATAGTCCATACTAGTGACTGAGGACCCTTTTACACAGGGGACAACGGCAAACATTAAACAATTTCATACAGGAGAGCAACATGATTAGATCTTTGTAAAAGAACATTCTGACTGAAGGCAGAGAACGGATTAGAGAGATCAAAGGTGTCCAAGGAGACACGCAAGGACTATTTCAATAGCCCGTCAAAAGACAGAAGCTGGTAATTTAGGCTAGGTTGGTTGCAGTGGAGAAGGAGGGAAGAGAATTAATCCAATAAATATTTATGAGGTAGAATCAACAGGACTTGTCAACTGGACTTTCTGATTGTCAGAAGTACGGGGAGGGGGATGGGAAGAACCAAGACTACCAGGTTTTTGACCCGAGCACCTGGAGAGGAACAGGGTGAGGGGTAGATAAGTTGTCTTGGACACGCGAAGGTCAGGTGCACATAAGAAATCCAAGCGGAGATACCTGGTAGGCAGCTAGATATACAGGTCCAAGGAGAATGAGAGCAGTCCAGGCTAGAGACAAAGATCCGAGGGGAATACTGACTTGAGGGGAAAGGAGAGAGAACGAGCCACCCTAGGCAGAGCGCGTAGAATAAGAAGGCAAGGTGACACAGGACAGAGACCTGAAGTACACCAATGTTCTGGGTGAAGAGCAGGAAAGAGATTAAAAGGTAACAGCTTCTTGTCTCAATCTCTGTGCGAAAATCTTGATATCTTAACCATGAGGCTATATAAGATTGTAGTAATTCACTGTTCTCTGGAGTCCCTCTTGCAATGCTGAAAACAATCATTCTAGTAAGTTCAACATCTGGACCAATCCTAGCCAAAGGAAATGAAAAATCACCCAGCACACACTCACTCAATGAGGTATCTAAGGATTCTCCACCAGAAGAAAAGCTCACGCTGACAGTCCACAGCTTCATTCTACCTCCTTACTGGGAGCATCAAAAGCATTCACACTTTCAGATAAATTGCAATAGCTGTACAAAATAAGAATTTATCTACCACAACTAGAAGGACCCACAACTAAGAATATACAACTATGTATCGGGGGGGCTTTGGGGAGAAAAAGGAAAAAAATAAAATCTTAAAAAAAAAAAAGAATTTATCTATATTTAAATTTAATACATAAGGCAAATTATCTCACAAATTACTGTATGCTTTAAAAAGGGAAAACTGTTGTTTAACGGGTTTAGAGTTTCAGGTGCAAAATATGAAAAAGTTCTGGAGATCTATTTCACAACAATGCGAATATACTTACTAGGGAACTTTACACTTAAAAATGGTTAAGATAGTAAATTTTATGTTATGCGTTTTCATCACAACTTTAAAATAAGTAATAATATAATTACATTATTAAAATTATCAAAATAATATAGCCCCCAACTCCAAGTAAAGTGAACCGGCTTGCTTAACACTGGCTTCGAAGACCTTGTTAAAGAATAAGATACTGTGAGTTCCATCACGTTCTTAGTGTAAGTATTGTACTTCTGCCCTGAAAACCAGGATTTGACCCATAGCATGTTGTAGTCCATATTTTAAAATTACCATAGGAGGCAACAACGTGGCTGGTTGAAGCTAACTGCCTGAAGAGTGTTCCTGGGCAGCTAGTGCTCTGAGGAGCTACAGCATTCCCTCAGCCTTCCTGAGCTGCATTTGCTCAGAGGAAATTCCCTCACCTCCCTAATCATCCAGACACTCAAGCAGTACAGCCCTATAATCCGAAATTCCCCTTGAAAACATTCACATGCCTCCCTACCAAATCCATCCAAAGTTAGTTTTGGGGACAAAACCCACTGCCACTCGCTGATGCTAAGCGATTCCTTTCTCTCTGGGGCCCCAGGTGATCAGGGTACCCACCACCTTTAGCAAAGACATCAGTATCATGGTCTACTTTGTATCACAGTTGGTTACCCATATGTCTTTCCTCCCCACAAAACTTTTAAGTTTCTGGAACAGAAGAGATCTGGTTCTGAGTCTGGTTGCTCTCGGCAACCACCATACCGCCTAACACAGCGTCTGGTTTGTGTAAGTGCCCAATGACAAAGACTCCTGAAACAAGTCCTCTCGCTTTTCACTGCCACACTCCCTTGCCTATTCTCGGGGACAACAGTTCTGGGCAGCGAGGGAGGAATAAAGAAAAATGCTAGAAAATGCGCTCGTCCACCTAACGACTCATAAAGGCTTCCATCGCAAGAGAGTTTAAACCATTCACAAGCAGGCCAGTGAAAGGGAAAAGACCACTTCTAGGGTAGCACATTAAAAGACTAATCAGACGCAGTCCCAAGCCTTGAAGTCACAAACCAGAGAGGGAGGCAGACACTGACAGGCACGAGAGCAACGCTCGAGGGGACATCGGGTCTCCAGGGGAAGGGGGTGCATTTTCCTCCTGGCCGAGCCGGGGCCCTGCAAACACCACCCCCGCTGCCCTCGCCAGCTCCTGCACTCACTCTTGTCCAGAGGGCGGGTTAGCTCGGCCCCTACGTCGCCATCCGCGCTGGGGCCCTGAGGTTTCACAGTCAGCGGCACGAACAAGGAGGTGTTCGGGGCTTTGGAGCCTCCCGAGGCAGAGGAGGAGGAGGCAACGGCAGGGACGCGCCCCAGAGCCCCAGGAAAGGGCCCAATGTGGGCGCGAAGGGCAGAGCAGACGGCTGCCCGGTGGCCAGCCCGGCGCCCCGCCGGGAGCCGAGCCCACAACAGGGCACACCGGGGGAAGGACATCGAGGCCGCAGGCCCTACAGGAGGCTGGCTGGAGCAGCCTGGCGACACGGCGGTGGACAGTGACGCACATCGCCGGCGCCTACTGTCTGGAAAGACCCAGACCGAGCAGGGTAGCTGCCCAGAAAAACGGCCGATCAGTAAGGAAAAAGTAGTGCCGTAAGATTGCTCTGAAAGGGAAAGAAAAGCTTAGAAATGAAAACCAGAAAAAGATAGGTTCTTGTTCTCTCTCTCTTTCACTTGAGATTGGGGCCAGCTTTCTCTAAAGAAAAGAAAGCAATCAGGCACCTTTGGGGATGTCACAGACAAGAGGCGGGGCCTGCGAGCTGTGTTACGTGACGCAAGCTGGCCCTGTCGGTGAGCGCGTGTTCAGAAGCACGTGGGCAGCAGGATCAGCAGTGCGGGGCGGACTGATGGAGGAAAGCGTGCGTGTGCTGTGGGCACCGGTGTGGTTTGCGGACTGGGACACTAAGGCGCGTTTCCCCAAAGTTTCTTGGATTCTTAATTTTTGTTTTCTGATAGAGTAGCGTTAGAGAACATAACTTGATCTGCCCTTCAGGAACGTTGCCAAGGAATTTTGTTCTACAAGTTCTTAGATAAACTCGTTGTATGACGTGCGTAACTTATACTTTAATGTGATCAGTTTGTGAACATCATTCTAGTAGCTGATATGTCATAACCGCATAGCAAAATATATCCTCCCTACCCCGGCCAAAGTTTAGTTTCGTTTGCGTTGGTTGAATGCTGTGTCATATGAGGTTGCAACTTCATATTCAATTCAAAATATGCTGATAGATTTTCCACATCTGTCTCTCATTATACTTAAAACGTTAAGATCTGATTTGAAGGAGCGTATTGTGTCTTATGTAATACTGTGTGCCAAAAAGGATTCCAGGAACAATTTGCTATGTGCTTTTGATTCACAGTACTTTTTAAACATCGGGGATACAAATAGAAGGCCACTTGCCCCAAAGAGTTTCTGACCTGGTTTTGGTGATATGGTACAGGTTAAATAATGCAACTACTTACTACTCTTAGAATAATGAAAGTTCAAAGAAAGCAGCAATTTGAGAGCTTTGAGATTCTGCCAGACTTAAAAGTAAACAAGACTGAAAGAGAAGTGGTAAGGAAATTCTAGTCAGAGGAAACCGTGTAAGCAGAGACTTAACTATGGAAAAGCCATGTTGAAAAATTTTAAATACCACAGTTAAGGCAGGCCTTGTATGTTTTGCAAATAGTCAAAGTTTTGAGAAATCAGTTTAGAAAGTATCTAAGGTGGACTGAAACAACACCCGCCACCCCCTCTCTCCCCACCCTTGTCACACACACAGAGGGAAGAAAGCTGTAACAAAAGTTCAAGCTGAAGGTGGTGGATTAGTGTGTCTGAATTATGGTAGAGACCATGTATATGTAATGGAGAGATTTTACAAAGGCCGAAGACAATTTAGTAAGTGACTAAATATGATAGAAAATGCTGTTAACCAAGGATGTCTCATCAGATTTGGAAACTAGGAGAATGGATAAGCCAAACATTTAATACGCAACTGAGGCAAGTGTTGTTATTCCTTTTGTTAATATACCTAAATATAACTTTATAATTATTGGGCCAGAACCAACAGTTGTTGCTAATCTTATGGACATAGTAACAAACCCTAATATAGTTTTGCAGAATAAAAAAATGTTAAAACTCTTGTAACTGGTAACTTTGTTTTGTACCTCTTGCACATATAAAGTGTGGTCTGAATTTTATGATAGTATATATAGATTTTCCTCTTCAGCTTTTCATAGAGTTCTATAAACACTGAAATGGGAAAAATCAACAAAATTTTTGCTTTTACAGGATAGAGAGCTGTCATTCTCTTTGGGAGATATTTATAGTACTAAGTGTTATCAGCACCAAGCACCATATTAGAGCCTCCATAACTGTTTTGTTTGTTGAATGAATGAATGCAGTAACCATGTAACTGGTATCTTTGCCTGCTCTCAAGCCTCCATCTGTACTTTGCACAGTCACCATAATGATCTTTTGGAAACACCAATCTAATTGAGTTACTTCTGCCTAAAATCCTTCAGTGAACTCTGAATAAGTGTTAAGATAAAGCCGATACTCCATTCATTTGTACATCATCCAAGCCCCTTCCTAAATTGGCTCTTTTTTTTTCTTTTGCTGAGTAAAATTAGCCGTGAGCTAACATCTGTGCCAGCCTTCCTCCACTTTATATGTGGGTCACCACCACAGCCTGGCTGATGAGTGGTGTAGGTCCACACCTGGGATGCAAACCCACGAATCCAGGCCGCTGAAGCAGAGTGTGTCAAACTTAACCACTATACCAGAGGGCCGGCCCTAAAGTTGGCTCTTTATATGCCTCTTCCAGCCTCATCTCTCTACTCCCTGTATCTGTCATTCTATTCATTCCAGAACTACACGCCAGTTATTATATCATTTCTCACTTCTGTACCTCTGAACACATTGGGTGCCTCTCTTGTAGACCATAGGACCTAATACAACTGCTATCACGGCACTAAAACTGTATCATAATTGTGTCTCTAGAATAGTAGTTCTCAAACTTTAGGGTGCATCAGAATCATCTGGAAAGCTTATTAAAAACAAGATTGGTGGGGCCCTACCCCTGGAGTTTCTGATTCAGTAGGTCTGGGGTGGGGCCCAAGAGTTTGCATTCCTAACACATTTCCAGATGATGTTGACCCAACTAGTCCGGGAACCACACTTTGAGAACCACTGCTCTGGATTATGCTTCTTTCATGGTAGGGCCAATGAAATAGCACTGAGATACTCAGGAAACATGTATACAGAAATACAGAAATAAATGGATGGAGAAAGGAAGAGGGAATAGTAAAGATAACCCAGGTGGTAGGGAGTAAGCAAGTTCTTCTCTTTGCCTTTGCTATTAACAAAACCTGGTATACGAGGTTTCCCAAAAACACATCCTTGTAGATTTCTCCCCCTCACATCTTGCCTACCAAATTCTGTATATTGAAGTGTATACTATTTTCTGGTGTAAGGTTATCATGATATAGATACTAAATTTTTTTTAAGTGAATTTTTAAGACTTACTTTTAGAATCATGGGATTTAGAGCAGGAGTCGTCTTAGAAATTATATGGTCCAGTTTCCCCAAACCTGGGGAGAGGTCAACTGTCACACGCATTTGTGCAATTTGTTAGTAGCACCAACATAGTTCTGCTCTTCTCTGTCTTGCTTTCTCTCCAGAGCCTGACAACAGTCCTAGAGAATCTCATCTGTCTCCTTGGTTCTAATATTGAGGCACAAGAACAGTTCTTGTCCATAATTTTATTAATTTGGACCCATATTTTTTTCCTAAAGGACACCTTTAATTTTATAATCACTAGGAAAATAAGGTTGATCCATTTATTCAGATATTGAGTGTATATTATGTGATAAACACAAAGTATACCAAAACAAAGCAGACTGAGCTCTCCAGAGGCGTAAAATCCATAGAATTAAAAAGTCTTTTAAAACTGTGGTAAAAGCACAGTCCTGAAAGTGTGCATAGGCTGCCTTGGCAGCACAATAAGGGGACATCTAACTCTGACTTGGAGATGGAGATGGTGTCAGGCAAGATTGGCCAGGAGAGCTGGAGTTAGATGGAGCGCAGGCAGGAGGGCGGGCATTCTTCAAGGAGTCTGGCATAACTGGAGCTGAAGGTGTGTTTTGTAATATGGTATTCAAACTTTACCCTGGAATCAAGTCACTACAAGATTTTAGATAGGGGAGTGACATAAGAGTTAATCTCATAGAAGACCCCAAGCCTAAAAAACACATTATATTTAAGGGTGCACGTTTTCCTTGCTATGCCTTTATCTGATTGGAAACTTACAATGTCACATTCCAATCCAGGCTAGTATAAAGCCCTGGAGAGTGCCTTTATATATGTTCAACACAGGTTAAGCTGAATATAAAAGGAACATGGTTAAATTTAAGACTTTACTGACTCACATGGTAATTAGAATTGAATATTCCAACTACTTGACCCATATGGAAGGGGTCCAGAAGATGCCACTGTGGAATAAAAATTTTGAGTAGAAGGCATTTGAGTTCCTGAGATCTCGTCTGCCTAAAAATAGAGCCTCCCAAAAGAACGCAGTTGTCATAAATCCCCTCGCAGTGAGCAACCAGGAAAGATTAACATCACCAGAGACAGTGAACAGTCAGCCCCACACCTAAACAGACTGTGTCACAAAACTATCATATCTACCATTTATCTTTCCTAAAAGTCATTTGCTTTCCCTAAGTACCCGTTGTCCTCCAACTTCCCCTATTAAATCATTTGTGTCCTTCAGCCCCTCCTCATTCCCCTCTCAAGATGATATATAAGCCCAATTTCTAACCATCCCTTTAAGTCACATTTTTGTAAACTCCCTTATACTTGATTAAATTTATCTTTTCTCTTGCTGATCTGTCTATTGTCAGTTTAATTAGCAGGCTCCCAAATAAAGAACCTAAGAGAGTGGAGGACAAGTTTTTCCTCCCCAGCAAGTCAAAACAATGAAACTAAAATTCTTCACTAGTGGAGAAATAACTTTTTAAATGGTTTAGACAGTGGTTCTCAATCCTGGGCAGCTTTTTTTAATCCTCACATCCAGGCCCCTGAAATTCTTGTTTTATTGGTCTCGGTACAACCTGATGTATTTTTAAAAACTCCTAAAGTGATCTGAACATGCAGCCAGGGTTGACAACCAGTGGATTAGATATTGTACTCTTTATTAAAGACAAATGTCTTTTTCAGTTTATTTCTAATTAACTGACCAACTTTATTCAGTTCACCCAACACTGAATTCAAATTTTTATTTTTCAAATAGGTTATGCAACAAAGTCTCTAGCAAAGTGAGTAAGCATCCTGTTTATGGCAGTGGTTTAAGCTACCTGATTAAAAGCATTATACAGCTATTTTAAATTGAAACTCACAATATTTATAAAAACTAATGATCACAATTATAGCTTCCTAAACTATTAAGCAATCCTATCCTTAACAATAAATCTGACAATGAGAAGAGATTTGGGAATAGGACTATTTTAATCATTCAAATAG